CCTGGCTGCTGCTTTGGAGTTTGCTGTTCCGGACTTCCAGACGGATGGGGTGGAGCTACCGCAGTTCCCCGACGACGCCAAGTATGGTCGGTATAAGGCCCTGTGTTTGGAGTTTTCGGACCTCTTCTCTAAGCGGCCGGGTAGGTGCGACCACATGCAGCACGAGATCCACTTGAAGAAGGAGAAGCCTATTGCCGAAAAGGTTCGACGAGTCCCTCATAAGTGGCGTGGCGATGTGGAAGAGATGGTCTCCGACATGCTGGCCGCGGATGTGATTGAGCTCTCGTCGTCCTCCTACCGCTTCCCTTGTGTCTATGTCCCTAAAAAGGACGGCCGGGTAAGAATGTGTATCGACTACCGCGAGCTTAACAAGGTTGTTGACTTGGACGCCTATCCGGTTCCTAGGCCGGACGATGTTCAAGAGCATCTTAAGGGGGCCAAGGTTTTCTCTACCTTGGACCTTAGGTCGGGTTATTGGCAGATGTTGTTGAGGCCGGAAGACCGGGAGAAGACTGCCTTCTGCCCGGGTCCGGGCTTTCCCTTGTATCAGTGGAAGCGTGTAGCCTTCGGTCTGTCGAACGCCCCTGCCTCCTTCCAGCGGTTGATGCACTTTGAGCTCGGCGACTTACCTTTCGTCCGGATCTACTTAGACGATGTCTTGGTTTTCAGTCCAGACGAGGAGACCCATTTGGGGCACTTGCGGATTATCTTCGAGCGGTTAAGGTCGGCTAACTTGACTCTGGCGCCTGACAAGTGTGACTTTGGTCAACCCGAGGTGGAGTATTTGGGTCATGTCTTTGACGAGGTCGGTATGAAGCCCGCTCGGAGTAAGGTTAGTGCTATAACGACGTGGCCGGTTCCTGAGACGACTATGGAACTCCGTTCTTTCTTGGGTCTGGCTGGTTATTATCGCAAGTTTATCGACAACTACTCAGCTCGAGAACGCCCCCTTCGTGAGTTGTTGGCGGCTTGTAAGGCTCTGGACGGTAAAGATGATGTAGGCCGAGTACAAGTGTTATGGTCGGATGATCACGAGGCCACCTTCGTGGATTTGAAGATGGCTTTGGCAAGGCTCCCTTACTTGATGTACCCTGACTTTGGCCGGCAGTTCCAGATCTTTACGGATGCCAGTGATTATGCGGTTGGTGGAGTGCTTGAACAAGATGGTCGTCCGTTGGGCTACTTCAGCCGGTCCCTTACTGGGGCACAGCTGAACTGGCCGACGTATGAGAAGGAGGCTTACGCTCTATTGAAGACGCTGGACTTCTTTCACCACTTCATCATCGGTTATCCCTTGGAGGTGGTTATGGTCACGGACCATAGGCCCCTCACGTGGTTACGTAAGGCTACTAGCCCGAAGGTGACGAGGTGGCTACTGGCCTTGCAGGCATATCGGTTTACGGTCCGCTATCGAGAAGGAACTAAGCACGTTAATGCTGATGCTCTCTCTCGGATTAGGCCGGTTACCCTTAAGAAGGAAGGTGTTCCTGATGTTGAGATGCTGTCCGCGGAGCAACTTGGCTGCGGGACGGAGCAAGGTCGGCTCATTGAGCCTCGTCGACTCTCGGCTATGCTCGAGAACGGCGAGTCAGGTGGATCGGTACGGTTGACTTCGCCCATCGTGTGCATTCTCTCGGTGGCGCCCCGGTGGACTAAGGAAGAGCTTCGTAATGTTCAGCAAGCTGATCCCACCCTCTCCCTGGTTTTCGAGCGAAGGTTGGATCCGGCTCCTTTGGCGAGGAACGAATTGATAGGGCCGGAGCTTATGCCTTACAAGAAGATCTGGGGTCAGTTGGATGTCGTGGACGGTGTCTTAGTACGACTGGTTCGCCCGTTGCCTGATGACAAGCCTCGTCTGGTTCCTGTGGTTCCTCAAGCAATTAGGTCGGAGGTGCTTCTGCAGTTTCATGATGACGACGGCCACTTTGGCAAGGAACGGGTTGGCCAAAAGCTTACCTCTTTGTGCTACTGGCCGGGTATGTTGACGGCGGTTGCGGACTACATCTGCGAGTGTCGCCGCTGCAAGGAGGCTAAGAAGAAGGTCGTGCCCCCTATGGACTTGGTAACTATTCCTGTAGGCCGGCCGTGGCACACGGTAGCCATCGACTTCTTGTCGTTGTCAACTCCGGTCGGCTCCTTCTCCAAGTTGTTGGTGGTTGTGGACTATTTTACTAAGTTCGCGGAGGCCTTCCCTGTGACTGATGAAACGGCAGCAAGTGCGGTAGCTTCTCTCTATGTTCTGTTCGGTCATTTTGGTCCCCCAGAGCGAGTGTTGTCGGATAATGGGCCGGCGTTTGAGTCCAAGGTCTTTGAGAAAGTTCTCACGGGCCTGGGCTGCAAGCGAGCCCACTGTACGGTATATCACCCTCAAGGCAATGGTTTAGTCGAGCGCTTTAACCAGACGGTGCTGGGAATGTTAAGGACGCACGTGGACCACTCTTATGATTGGCTGGGCAAGCTGAGGACGGTTTTGTGGTGCTACAACACTAGTGTGCATGCCAGTACGGGGCACACGCCTTACTTCCTCATGTTCGGCCGGGAGCCTAATGTTGGCTACTTCCCACCTCTGTCTGACGCCTTCAATCTGCATGATCCTATCACTTGGTCGGAAGAACAAGCTCACACTCGAGCTCGTATTCAGGATACGGTGGATCTATATGTCTCGTATGCTGGTGCTCGTCAGAAGTACTTCTATGATAAGAAGGCTAAGTCGAGGGTGTTCTTTGTGGGTCAGAAGGTGCAGCTTAAGAGGTTCCCGAGTTCTCGTGGTCGGCGTGACAAGCTCTTATCCGGTTGGGAGGACGGTTGGTTTGTCAAGCGCATTATGCCAGGACGGGTTGTGAAGGCTGTGGAAGTGATGCACGAAGACACTGGTCATACTAAGGTTATCTCTGTCGACTTGCTTCATATTGACCCCTTGCAACCGCCACATCCTCCTCCTCATATGGGTATTGTACGACATCCTCCACCTCCGCTAGAAGACCCGCACTTGTCCGACTTCCCCTTGCTGTATGAGGGTCCGGTGAACGACGATGTGGTGCCGGGTAACAACATCGACGTCCCGCCAGTTCCTGACGAGGCCGGTAACGCCGAGGTCCAACAACAAGATGGCCACGAGGAAGTTCCAGCTCAAGCTCAAGACTTAGTGGAGTATGATGTGTGGGAGTTACTTCCCCCTGAAGACCGTGATGTTGTTGAGGATCCGGTTGTTCCGAATCCTGAGGGTGAGCAGAGAGATGAGGATGTTGAGCCCGAAGACGTCGAGCCCTTAGTTCGTCGGCCGGAAGTGGTTGATGATGTACCAGTTGAGAATGTGCCAATCTTGCCTTTGAACGACGTGCCTGCTCCACCTTTGAATGACGCCCCTGTTCTGCCTGGTTCCCCTGTGACTCCTGCGTCTGCAGATGACGGTATGGTTAGAGGTTTGGTTAGTCCCCGAGCTGAGACTCCGGTTGATGATCCCGAATCTCCCCCAGATCTGTTGACACCTATGGTTTCTTCTCCTGAACGTTCCCCTGGTTTCGGTTCTGCGAGGGAGGAGTCTTCTCCTCCTCAGAGCTCGGTTCGGTCGGAGGAGTCGCGTGCTGACGGTGTACAAGATGTTGTTGATCAAGTTGACGACGCCCCCTTGGTTGATGCCGGTAATCAACAAGAAGAGGCCGGAGGCATCCGTAGAGATGATGCTTCGGTCGGTTGGCGGTCTACTCGAGTCCGACGTCCACCTCCCACTCCTTTCGACCCAAGTCAGTACGTCCCTCTAGCTTCTCGTCGTCATGACGAGAACGGAAGGATTAATTAGAAAGCACCAAACGATGGTGAGTAAGTTCCCCAAGGTAAGGGGCGATTACGACTCTTCGGGGCGAGCGATGGTTCCCGCGTCCGTTTCTGCGCTGTGCGTTTCTGTTCCTGATCAAAACGGATAACGCTCTGTTAACGTAATTATTGTATTCGTAATTTAGGACCGGAGGGGCGGCCAGCCCTGTGGTTGAGGCTCGTTTTGGCGATTTGTTCGGTTTGCTTGAGTGAAATTACGCGCGTTCCGCTCGTTGCCGTTAGTCGCTTTCCTCCCCTCGGCTGCGCCTTCCCCTCCAGGTCGGATGCGTTTTATGATGTTTCTGATGATAGCTGTTCCTCTCAACAAGTGTTGTTGATCGCGCCTCGTTCTCCCTCTTCTGCCGAGGTTTCTTCCCTCACGTCCGCTGGAAGGCTCTGGATGGTCGGAGGTCCTGTTGGTTGATGCCAGAGATCCTTGTCACACTGGCCGGTTTGCTCTCGGCGAGGATGAGACTGCGTGGACCTATCGGCGCCCGTTCGTTCAAGGACTTTTCTGCTGAGAAATTTCTTTGAAGGCTTATCGCGGTGAAGGCCGGTATGATTAGCTGACTACTCTGGTACTATGATGGAAGTACGATGAGGTGAAGGACGGATGACTGCGAGGGACGAAGATGAAGAGGCCGGTTCTATGCGTCGAGGTGCGATGTGGCAGTAATTGAGAGGACGGTTGATAATTCGAGGCCGGTTGTGGTAGATCGTTCCCCAACCAGGCCGGTTTGTGAAGTCGAGAGATTGTTGAAGTAGATTTATTTGATATCGTAATTGTAATCGTATGAGCCCATTGTTTGTTGGTTTTTTTGCTTGGCCGGGCCCCGTTCGTCCTTAGGCCGGTTCCGTAGCCCCGCTTCCGTCCTGCGAGGGAGGTATGTGACGGTGTGAAGTGTGGGATATCGGCCGGAATCGGGACAGCGCTCCACAAGTGCGCAATTGTGTAGTGCAGGACGGGTGCTTCAGGCTAAGCTTAGCTAGATCGATTTCGTAGCCGTTACTCCGTACAGACTCGGTTGTCTGACGTGGTTTGTCGACGTATCGTATAGCTTTGGTGACTCGTGTCGCCTTGGGTATTATCTATACGTTTGGTTGCTTCTGAGTTGCAGTACATCTTTTGGGTCGGGTTCACTACGCGAGTATTCCTGACAAGCGCAGATCTGATTTGCCACCACATATACTCTGGGCGGGACTTGAACCCGCAACCTTTGGATTAGAAGTCCAACGCTCTATCCGATTGAGCCACCAGAGCCAAAATCAGCGGTGACATGCGGTGCTGAGCGTCCTGCGAACGACAGAGGAAACGTAGTGGTTTCCGTTTCAGAGTCTCTATTGGAAGAGCTAGCAGACTCAACTCCATTCGTTGACCTTTTCAATGGAAGCGCGTCGGCTTCCGGAGCCGAAGGTTGGGGCTTCAAGTCCCGCCATGGTTGGACAGTGTTGTTTCGTTTATGTTTCTTATCAACTGTGATACGATAGCAATAGCGTATACAGTACCCGGCTGTGATCTCATAATCAGCGCTATCAAGGACGAGCCTGATGCCGCCCCAGACCCGGTGACAGAAGGCCCATCGCAATTCCCACTGCGTATTCCGCTACGTGCGGGAAACCGCGAGTAGTAGCATCAATAGTTCGCGTCCCGCCGCTATAGCATTCGCGAATTCGACTGCTACCGTTCAGAACGATTCGTTCTACCCGCGACTACAGTAGGTATGCCGGTAGGTTGCCTGCCGTATTTGAGTAGGGCCATCGCTACCGCCGAGGCTCGCCATTATGGGACGTCCTTTTGATCCCGGACTGGTCATTACTTCTGCCCCGTCGACGCCCTTCCAGGGAAACGATCACCGTAACTCCCTCCAAACTATAAATGAGCCGCGGGGATGCCTCGGTGATTCTGGCTGATGACTATCTTACCACCGGCTTCTTCAAGCTGGGCGGCGGACCGCCGAATTCGGAACTTCGGGTGCGGCCGGATGCAAAGGACGCGGTTATCCTGAGTGGCCTCGGGCATGATAGAACGTTGGTATTGGAAGGGAATTCCTAGTTAGACAGAGCTCCCCCGTTGATGGCGATGTGAGGATGTTCTCCAGAAAAGTTCTCTCCTGTTCTCTGTCAGGAGAAAATGAAAGTTTACTATCAAGGTGGTACTTCACTCAGCCATGCGCGAGTTAGCCGGGGCTAGTCGACCTCTCGATTGCCCCACTGCAGTGATCCAGTGATGATCTTCTCTTGACGCTGTCCGCCGCGATTGTGCATGATCCTTTAGAAGTCGGGGACATGCTGTCGTTGTCATGCTTGTGATACTTATTTATCAATTGCGCGTTTTAGAAATTACCTTTTGTTGGGTTCTGGGAGTGTCATTCGCCGGTTTCATATACGAGTATCCTTCCAGGACAAGATGGCGGAATGATTGTTATCATGACTCACGCAGGAGATGGGATTGATGGTGGCGGTATGGAGTGAATGCTCTTCAGTTCGTTGATGAAGACAGATGATGCTTCTGACTCCTCAGCAGCGGCTAAAGTGATTGCCATTGACAACGGCGGAGGTCTATTGAAGGCGGGGTTGGTGGACTCTGAGCACGAAGAGGGAGCTCTCCTCTATCCCGAAATTGTCATACCGAACGCTGTGGCACGAGCTCGACGCGGTGGGAAGGCCGGGAAGAATAAAGTGCTCGTCGGAAAGGAGATCATGGCATGCCCGGAGTGAGTCGCCGGGGAGTGGCTGATTCGGCGGCGGCGTTGACCGGGCATTAGATTGGAGTGTACGACAAGAGTCGTTCATTATTGTTCTTGAGTTGTGGTAACATCTACGCAAGCTAGCGAGGTGCACCGTAGGGGACTGTCCCGAGTGGAATCACGGAGCGAAACTGTCGATTGTGTGCGACATCTCCTCGAATCGGGCTGCATCAGGTATACTATGACAAGACCCTCTCACAAGGGAATCGTTATTGACTGGGAGACGCAGAAGATTTTATGGGATGGGGTGCTGCATGGCGGCCGACGACATCTTCCTGGGCTGCTCTCGAAGGTGATAGCGGGTCGAGAGTGCTCGAGTTCACAGTCGTTATAGAACTACTCGGCTGCGACCCTCCGGGCTGGAAACTCGAAATCTTACACAAGGGATCGGTCTCCTCCTATTAGAACCCGCTGTGTGGTCGTGGTATATTCGTTATACACCTTGCGTGATTCCTTCGATCGAGCATTCATGAGCATCTCTCAGGGGTCTGACCTGTCCGACGTGACGGTCATCGTCTCCCAGCCGCTCTTCTGTCCGGTCATGGTCACCCGCGTCGGCATGCAAGTAAGTCGCGTTCGATATCTCGCCTCAGACCCAAAGTCTCAGGTCCTCTTCGAAGACTTCGGCTTCGCTCGGGCCGTATTCGTTGACTCCCCGCTGTGCCTCCAGTTCAGTGAGAGCATAACATCGCAGTTCGGCGAGGATGAATGGAAGAATCCCTGCGGACTCATCGTGGACGCCGGCTTCAGTGGCTGTCGGGCGGTGCCTGTGTAGTGCTTGGGTGGAAGTGGAGCTCAAACAGTGAAATTCATTCGTATTTTGCGATCCAGCTTTTCGGTGTAGATCTGGTCATACAGTAGTCGACTGAGCAGCATCGGATGGAATCATAGGAGTAGTATCTCATGATTTAGGTCGTATATCTAGTAATAGGAGTACAATAAATTCAGAAAGGGGGCGAAGAATTCAATCTAAACGCTTGGATTGATTCGGAAATCTTTCGTGCCTTGGACGTCGCTGGGGTTGTGCCCACGCGGTCGTTCAGGATGCGTGCGAGGATCAGGTACAATACGTACCCTCTCGAACACTGCGCTCAGAGGATGGACGTCGGGGGTAGAGTTATGACCAACTACCTCAAGGAAGCTATAGCGTAATCACGCGCATTCCGTCTGGGGCTCATTTATGAATATGCGACGCGCGTTCAGATACAACAAAGTTGATCTTGATGATGCGCCGCTTCTCGTCGAGCATATTCGAGAGAACATGTGTTACTCCGCCCAGGACTTCGTCGCCGAGGTTGAAGCCTCTCGGGCATGTCCTGGCGAGACCACTCGACGGTACATCTTGCCGGATCATTCTTCGACGTCCAATCACTTGGGAAGAGTCGTTGATCCTCGGCTTGGAGAGGATGTTAGTTCTAAAGATTTCATTGATATGAATCATGAGCGGATGGTAGTTAGTGAGGCCTTATGGCAGCCTGGGTCTATTGGAATCCTACAAGCTGGGTTGGCTGAGATGGCGGCTCGGGCCGTGATGAAAGCTCCTGTGGCAACGAGGTCGGCGGTCGCGAAGAAAGTACGTTGGTTGTTGTTTGAGGATCTGGGAGGGTTGGAAGTGGATGCTTTGTTGGGGCTCATGAGTCTAATAAGTTACCCGATGCAGGATTCGAACCTACGACCATCTGCTCCGTAGGCAGACATTCTATCCAGCTGAACTAATCGGGCTCTGAGAGTGCTCGCCATGTGCCCATCGTCGTCTTCCCGTCAGGTTATTCTGGGTGGCGGCCTCTTTCTCATTCCCGGGGTCTTAGAGAGGTTCAAGGCGGAGTTCCAGTCTAATCTGCCCATGGAGATCGCCAGCGAGGTCAAGTTCTTCGCTGAGGAGGATGGAAGATATGACCTGTCTGTTTGGAGGGGCCTCCATACCCTCGGTGAGTAGCAACTGCTGAAATGTGCTCGGCGAAGTTCTATCTCGTTGTGGATTGGCTTTTCATCGCCATTTCGTCACTCACGTTCACGTGGGGCCATCAGTTAGAGTATTTAAGTAGTGACCCCATGTGAAGATAGAATCTCTGATTCGCAGCGTCCTGAGTATCGACAGCTGTTTGCTGATTTGTGTGAGTCACTCAGGCTGCGAGGGTTACCTCCTGCATAATATTAAGACCATCGCCGTTCTCTCGTGGCTGCTGTCTAGGAATCCAGAGACTCGCTGCTCAGATGGTGTCGACCCAGGGACGTGATGAATTGAATTTTCTGACAGGCCGAATTTTGACACTTTCGGACCACCTATGGTAGCGCATACTCTCACGATGAGGAAGGTTTTCTACTTCAGGTTCCTCTGAGGACGACTTAGCGCATTTGGGGTTGTTCAACCGAGACACTTGGTTGGCTGCTGCCAAGAAGGCAGCACCAAATGGTCATCCCGCGGGAGAGCAGAGCGCGTCCACGCCGAAAGGAAGCTCTCGCCGAGGCACCAAGAAGAGCCCAAGCCAGTCTAGTCGAAAGAGAAAACGTAAGAAAGAAGAATGAGTTTTCAACGACCTCACTTGCGTTGAGTGAATCAACGGCACTTTTGGGAAGAGTGGGGATTCCCTTGGAAGACCGTTATCCGGCCTCAGCCGGCTTCCACAATCTCACTCGACCTCGTGCCGAGCTTGCTAGGCAGTGTGCCATAATGAGCTCCCCCTTCGCCTTCCTCCGAGAGTACTTCACAGACCTCATGCCGGATCCGACCACCTGTATTGGGAGATGCAACACGGCGTCTGATGTGCGGGAGTCTGAGAAATTCACCGACATATATTCCTACCGCTCGTGAGTGTGCTTGGATGGGAAGTCTCAAAGGGCTTGCGTCTTATCGAGTGGCAAGTTGGAGGTATTTAATGTGGTTATTTTCTGATGCCGTCGGAGAGCTCTTCGAAATGCTTCATACCATTCTTTGACGGAATCGTCGTCGGCGGCCGTTTCCTAGACGCCGAGTCTCTCAGGTTCTGTCACAAGGCCTGTGCGGCGGACGAGAGCGAGGTTCGGGATATGCGAGGGTGCGAGGAGTTCTGCCTCAAACTGTGCTTCCGAGACAACATCGTAGAGGACACTAACAATAATGTTAATTACGTGGTGTTGGAAAGGTGACATACCCTAATGGCGTCCATGAACATGGGCCGCCATCGACTGCTATTTCGAGAGAAGCTTTCGTTATACATCGTGCTGTCCATGGTACAAACGCCACGTCTCTCAGCGCGAAGAGCTGTCTACGCGATAACCACTATCGTAATTAACATGGCTGGCGACGGCAAGATTTCTGAAGACCACTATGGTCTCCAGAACTCTTTCCGTCGCCAGCTGCTGCGGTCTTCTCAATGCAATGGTGCTGCTTCTGGGTCCATTTCTAATCTTGCTGGACGCCTTTTCGATTGTCATTTCATTATAACGGTCGGGCACGGTTCTGC